GAAGCTATACCATTGTTGCTTTTGCGATAAATTATTTGCACACAAAAGTTTCCTCACAAGACATCTACGCATACATACAGGTGACAAGCCATATCACTTGGGCTCATGCGATAAATCATTTGCATGAAAGCATAGCCTCATATTGCATAGCCGCACGCATACAGGTGATAAGCCATATCATTGCGGCTTTTGCGATAAATCATTTGCAATGAAGGGTGCCCTCACGCAACAATTCTTCATGCATACAGGTGAGAAGCTGTACCATTGTTGCTTTTGCGATAAATGCACACAAAAGTGTCATCACAAGACATCTCCGCATACATACAGGTGACAAGCCATATCATTGCGGCTCATGCGATAAATTGTTTGCACGAAAGCATAGCCTCATATTACATAGCCGCACACATACACGTGATAAGCCATATCGTTGCGGCTTTTGCGATAAATCATTTGCACGAAAACATAGCCTCTTATTACATAGACGCACGCATACAGGTGATAAGCCATATCCTTTCGGCTTTTGCGATAAATCATTTGCAATGAAGGGTGCCCTCACGCTACAATTCTTCGTGCATACAGGCGAGAAGCTATACCATTGTTGCTTTTGCGATAAATCAATTGCAAGAACGCATAGCCTCATATTACATAGCCGCACGCATACAGGTGATAAGCCATGTCAGTGCGGCTTTTGTGATAAATCATTTGCAATGAAGGGTGCCCTCACGCTACAATTCTTCGTGCATACAGGCGAGAAGCTATACCATTGTTGCTTTTGCAATAAATCATTTGCACGAAAGCATAGCCTTATATTACATAGCCGCACGCATACAGGTGATAAGCTATATCATTGCGGTTCATGCGATAAATCGTTTGCACAAAAGCAGAGCCTCATATTACATAGCCACACTCATACAGGTTAAGCCATATCATTGCGGCTTTTGCGATAAATCATTTGCAATGAAAGGAACCCTCATGCAACAACTCTTCATGCATACAGGCGAGAAGCTATACCATTGTTGCTTTTGCGATAATTTATTTGCACACAAAAGTTTCCTCACAAGACATCTACGCATACATACAGGTGACAAGCCATATCACTTGGGCTCATGCGATAAATCATTTGCATGAAAGCATAGCCTCATATTGCATAGCCGCACGCATACAGGTGATAAGCCATATCATTGCGGCTTTTGCGATAAATATGTGCAAATGAAGGGTGCCTTCACGCAACAAACTCTTCATGCATACAGGCGAGAAGCTGTACCATTGTTGCATTTGCGATAAATGCCACACAAAAGTGTCCCTCACAATAACATAGCTCCGCATACATAACAGGTAGCAAGCCATATCATTGCGGCTCATGCCATAAATCGTTTGCACAAAAGCATAGCCTCATATTACATAGCCACACTCTAACAGGTTAAGCAAATATCATATGCGGCTTTTGCGATAAAACATTTGCAATGAAGGGTGCCTTCACGCAACAACTCGATTTGCATACAGGCGAGAAGCTAATACCCATTGTTGCTTTTGCGATAAATCATTGCAAACAAAAGTGTCCTCAAAAGACCATCTCCGCATACATACAGGTGGACAAGACCATATCATTGCGGCTCATGCGACAAAAAATCGTTTGCAACGAAAGCATAGCCTCATATTACATAGCCACACACATACAGGTTAAGCCATATCATTGCGGCTTTCGCGATAAATCATTTGCAATGAAGGGTACCCTCATTCAACAACTCTTCATGCATACAGGCGGGAAGCTATACCATTGTTGCCTTTGCGATAAATCATTTGCACACAAAAGTGTCCTCACAAGACATCTCCGCATACACACAGGTTACAAGCCATATTATTGCGGCTCATGCAATAAATCATTTGCACGAAAGCATAGCCTCATATTACATAGCCGCACGCATACAGGTGATAAGCCATATCATTGCGGCTTTTGCGATAAATCATTTGCAATGAAGGGTACCCTCACGCAACAACTCTTTATGCATACAGGCGAGAAGCTGTACCATTGTTGCTTTTGCGATAAAGCACACAAAAGTGTCCTCACAACACATCTCCGCATACATACAGGTGACAAGCCATATCATTGAGGCTCATGCGATAAATCGTTTGCACGAAAGCATAGCCTCATATTACATAGCCGCACACATACACGTTAAGCCATATCATTGCGGCTTTTGCGATAAATCATTTGCACGAAAACATAGCCTCATATTACATAGACGCACGCATACAGGTGATAAGCCATGTCATTTCGGCTTTTGCAATAAATCATTTGCAATGAAGGGTGAACCCACGCTACAATTCTTCGTGCATACAGGCGAGAAGCTATACCATTGTTGCTTTTGCGATAAATCATTTGCAAGAACGCATAGCTTGATATTATATAGCCGCACGCATACACGTGATAAGCCATGTCCGTGCGGCTTTTGTGATAAATCATTTGCAATGAAGGGTGCCCTCACGCTACAATTCTTCGTGCATACAGGCGAGAAGCTATACCATTGTTGCTTTTGCAATGAATCATTTGCACGAAAGCATAGCCTAATATTACATAGCCGCACGCATACAGGTGATAAGCTATATCATTGCGGTTCATGCGATAAATCGTTTGCACAAAAGCAGAGCCTCATATTACATAGCCACACTCATACAGGTTAAGCCATATCATTGCGGCTTTTGCGATAAATCATTTGCAATGAAAGGAACCCTCATGCAACAACTCTTCATGCATACAGGCGAGAAGCTATACCATTGTTGCTTTTGCGATAATTTATTTGCACACAAAAGTTTCCTCACAAGACATCTACGCATACTACAGGTGACAAGCCATATCACTTGGGCTCATGCGATAAATCATTTGCATGAAAGCATCGCCTCATATTGCATAGCCGCACGCATACAGGTGATAAGCCATATCATTGCGGCTTTTGCGATAAATCATTTGCACGAAAACATAGCCTCATATTACATAGACGCACGCATACAGGTGATAAGCCATATCCTTTCGGCTTTTGCGATAAATCATTTGCAATGAAGGGTGCCCTCACGCTACAATTCTTCGTGCATACAGGCGAGAAGCTATACCATTGTTGCTTTTGCGATAAATCATTTGCAAGAACGCATAGCCTGATATTACATTGCCGCACGCATACAGGTGATAAGCCATGTCAGTGCGGCTTTTGTGATAAATCAGTTGCAATGAAGGGTGCCCTCACGCTACAATTCTTCGTGCATACAGGTGAGAAGCAATACCATTGTTGCTTTTGCGATAAATCATTTGCACACAAAAGTGTCCTCACAAGACATCTCCGCATACATACAGGTGACAAGCCATATCATTGCGGCTCATGCGACAAATCATTTGCACGAAAGCATAGCCTCATATTACATAGCCACACATATACAGGTGATAAGCCATATCATTGCGGCTTTTGCAATAAATCATTTGCAATGAAGGGTACCCTCATGCAACAACTCTTCGTGCATACAGGCGAGAAGCTGTACCATTGTTGCTTTTGCGATAAATCATTTGCACACAAAAGTGTCCTCACAAGACATCTCCGCATACATACAGGTGACAAGCCATATCATTGCGGCTCATGCGATAAATCGTTTGCACGAAAGCATAGCGTCATTTCACATATCTGCACGCATACAGGTGATAAGCCATACCATTGCGGCTTTCGTGATAAATCATTTTCAATGAAGGGTGCCATCACGCTACTATTCTTCGTGCATTCAGGCGAGAAGCTATACCATTGTTGCTTTTGCGATAAAGCATTTGCACACAAAAGTGTCCTCACAAGACATCTCCGCATACATACAGGGTACAAGCCATATCATTGCGGCTCATGTGATAAATCATTTGCACAAAAGCATAGCCTCATATTACATAGCCGCACACATACAGGTGATAAGCCATATCATTGCGGCTTTCGCGATAAATCAATTGCAATGAAGGGTACCCTCACGCAACAGCTCTTCGTGCATACCGGCGAGAAGCTATACCATTGTTGCTTTTGCGATAAATCATTTGCACACAAGTGTCCTCACAAGACATCTCCGCATACATACAGGTGACAAGCCATATCATTGCGACTCATGCGATAAATCGTTTGCACGAAAGCATAGCCTCATACTACATAGCCACACACATACAGGTTAAGTCATCTCATCGCGGATTTTGCGATAAATTATTTGCAATGAAGGGTACCCTCATGCAACAACTCTTCATGCATACAGGCGAGAAGCTATACCATTGTTGCTTTTGCGATAAATCATTTGCACACAAAAGTGTCCTCACAAGACATCTCCGCATACATACAGGTGACAAGCCATATCATTGCGGCTCATGTGATAAATCATTTGCAATGAAGGGTGCCCTCACGCAACAACTCTTCATGCATGTAGGCGAGAAGCTATACCATTGTTGCTTTTGCGATAAATCATTTGCACACAAAAGTGTCCTGACAAGACATCTCTGCATACATACAGGTGACAAGCCATATCATTGCGGCTCATGCGATAAATCGTTTGCACAAAAGCATAGCCTCATATTACATAGCCACACTCATACAGGTTAAGCCATATCATTGCGGCTTTTGCGATAAATAATTTGCAATGAAGGGTGCCTTCACGCAACAACTCTTCATGCATACAGGCGAGAAGCTGTACCATTGTTGCATTTGCGATAAATGCACACAAAAGTGTCCTCACAAGACATCTCCGCATACATACAGGTGACAAGCCATATCATTGCGGCTCATGCCATAAATCGTTTGCACAAAAGCATAGCCTCATATTACATAGCCACACTCATACAGGTTAAGCAATATCATTGCGGCTTTTGCGATAAAACATTTGCAATGAAGGGTGCCTTCACGCAACAACTCTTTATGCATACAGGCGAGAAGCTATACCATTGTTGCTTTTGCGATAAATCATTTGCAAACAAAAGTGTCCTCACAAGACATCTCCGCATACATACAGGTGACAAGCCATATCATTGCGGCTCATGCGACAAATCGTTTGCACGAAAGCATAGCCTCATATTACATAGCCACACACATACAGGTGATAAGCCATATCATTGTGGCTTTCGCGATAATTCATTTGCAATGAAGGGTACCCTCATTCAACAACTCTTCATGCATACAGGCGGGAAGCTATACCATTGTTGCCTTTGCGATAAATCATTTGCACACAAAAGTGTCCTCGCAAGACATCTCTGCATACACACAGGTTACAAGCCATATTATTGCGGCTCATGCGATAAATCATTTGCACGAAAGCATAGCCTCGTATTACATAGCCGCACGCATACAGGTGATAAGCCATATCATTGCGGCTTTTGCGATAAATCATTTGCAATGAAGGGTACCCTCACGCAACAACTCTTTATGCATACAGGCGAGAAGCTGTACCATTGTTGCTTTTGCGATAAAGCACACAAAAGTGTCCTCACAACACATCTCCGCATACATACAGGTGACAAGCCATATCATTGCGGCTCATGCGATAAATCGTTTGCACGAAAGCATAGCCTCATATTACATAGCCGCACACATACACGTTAAGCCATATCATTGCGGCTTTTGCGATAAATCATTTGCACGAAAACATAGCCTCATATTACATAGACGCACGCATACAGGTGATAAGCCATGTCATTTCGGCTTTTGCAATAAATCATTTGCAATGAAGGGTGAACCCACGCTACAATTCTTCGTGCATACAGGCGAGAAGCTATACCATTGTTGCTTTTGCGATAAATCATTTGCAAGAACGCATAGCTTGATATTATATAGCCGCACGCATACACGTGATAAGCCATGTCCGTGCGGCTTTTGTGATAAATCATTTGCAATGAAGGGTGCCCTCACGCTACAATTCTTCGTGCATACAGGCGAGAAGCTATACCATTGTTGCTTTTGCAATGAATCATTTGCACGAAAGCATAGCCTTATATTACATAGCCGCACGCATACAGGTGATAAGCTATATCATTGCGGTTCATGCGATAAATCGTTTGCACAAAAGCAGAGCCTCATATTACATAGCCACACTCATACAGGTTAAGCCATATCATTGCGGCTTTTGCGATAAATTCATTTTGCAATGAAAGGAACCCTCATGCAACAACTCTTCATGCATACAGGCGAGAAGCTATACCATTGTTGCTTTTGCGATAATTTATTTGCACACAAAAGTTTCCTCACAAGACATCTACGCATACATACAGGTGACAAGCCATATCACTTGGGCTCATGCGATAAATCATTTGCATGAAAGCATAGCCTCATATTGCATAGCCGCACGCATACAGGTGATAAGCCATATCATTGCGGCTTTTGCGATAAATCATTTGCACGAAAACATAGCCTCATATTACATAGACGCACGCATACAGGTGATAAGCCATATCCTTTCGGCTTTTGCGATAAATCATTTGCAATGAAGGGTGCCCTCACGCTACAATTCTTCGTGCATACAGGCGAGAAGCTATACCATTGTTGCTTTTGCGATAAATCATTTGCAAGAACGCATAGCCTGATATTACATTGCCGCACGCATACAGGTGATAAGCCATGTCAGTGCGGCTTTTGTGATAAATCAGTTGCAATGAAGGGTGCCGTCACGCTACAATTCTTCGTGCATACAGGTGAGAAGCAATACCATTGTTGCTTTTGCGATAAATCATTTGCACACAAAAGTGTCCTCACAAGACATCTCCGCATACATACAGGTGACAAGCCATATCATTGCGGCTCATGCGACAAATCGTTTGCACGAAAGCATAGCCTCATATTACATAGCCCACATATACAGGTGATAAGCATATCATTGCGGCTTTTGCAATAAATCATTTGCAATGAAGGGTACCCTCACGCAACAACTCTTCGTGCATACAGGCGAGAAGCTGTACCATTGTTGCTTTTGCGATAAATCATTTGCACACAAAAGTGTCCTCACAAGACATCTCCGCATACATACAGGTGACAAGCCATATCATTGCGGCTCATGCGATAAATCGTTTGCACGAAAGCATAGCCTCATATTACATATCTGCACGCATACAGGTGATAAGCCATATCATTGCGGCTTTTGTGATAAATCATTTGCAATGAAGGGTGCCCTCACGCTACAATTCTTCGTGCATACAGGCGAGAAGCTATACCATTGTTGCTTTTGCAATAAATCATTTGCACGAAAGCATAGCCTCATATTACATAGCCGCACGCATACAGGTGATAAGCCATATCATTGCGGTTCATGCGATAAATCGTTTGCACAAAAGCAGAGCCTCATATTACATAGCCACACTCATACAGGTTAAGCCATATCATTGCGGCTTTTGCGATAAATCATTTGCAATGAAAGGAACCCTCATGCAACAACTCTTCATGCATACAGGCGAGAAGCTATACCATGTTGCTTTTGCGATAAATTATTTGCACACAAAAGTTTCCTCACAAGACATCTACGCATACATACAGGTGACAAGCCATATCACTTGGGCTCATGCGATAAATCATTTGCATGAAAGCATAGCCTCATATTACATAGCCGCACGCATACAGGTGATAAGCCATATCATTGCGGCTTTTGCGATAAATCATTTGCACGAAAGCATAGCCTCATATTACATAGCCGCACGCATGCAGGTGATAAGCCATATCATTGCGGCTTTTGCGATAAATCATTTGCAATGAAGGGTGCCCTCACGCTACAATTCTTCGTGCATACAGGCGAGAAGTTATACCATTGTTGCTTTTGCGATAAATCGTTTGCACGAAAGCATCGCCTCATATTACATAGCCGCACGCATACAGGTGATAAGCCATATCATTGCGGCTTTCGCGATAAATCATTTGCAATGAAGGGTACCCTCACGCAACAGCTCTTCGTGCATACCGGCGAGAAGCTATACCAATGTTGCTTTTGCGATAAATCATTTGCACACAATTGTCCTCACAAGACATCTCCGCATACATACAGGTGACAAGCCATATCATTGCGACTCATGCGATAAATCGTTTGCACGAAAGCATAGCCTCATACTACATAGCCACACACATACAGGTTAAGTCATCTCATTGCGGCTTTTGCGATAAATTATTTGCAATGAAGGGTACCCTCACGCTACAATTCTTCGTGCATAGAGGCGAGAAGCTATACCATTGTTGCTTTTGTGATAAATCATTTGCAAGAACGCATAGCCTGATATTACATTGCCGTACGTATACAGGTGATAAGCCATGTCAGTGCGGCTTTTCTGATATATCCTTTGCAATGAAGGGTGCCCTCACGCTACAATTCTTCGTGCATACAGGCGAGAAGCTATACCATTGTTGGTTTTGCAATAAATCATTTGCACGAAAGCATAGCCTTATATTACATAGCCGCACGCACACAGGTTATAAGCTATATCATTGCGGTTCATCCGATAAATTGTTTGCACGAAAGCAGAGCCTCATATTACATAGCCACACTCATACAAGTTAAGCCATATCATTGCGGCTTTTGCGATAAATCATTTGCAATGAAAGGAACCCTCATGCAACAACTCTTCATGCATACAGGCGAGAAGCTATACCATTGTTGCTTTTGCGATAAATTATTAGCACACAAAAGTGTCCTCACAAGACTTCTTCGCATACATACACGTGACAAGCTATATCATTGCGGCTCATGCGATATATCGCTTGCACGAAAGCATAGCTTCATATCACATAGCCGCACGCATACAGGTGATAAGCCATATCATTGCGGCTTTTGCGATAAATCATTTGCACAAAAGCGTAGCCTCATAATACATAGACGCACGCATACAGGTGATAAGCCATATCATTGCGGCTTTTGTGATAAATCAATTGCAATAAAGGGTACCCTCACGCAACAACTCTTCGTGCATACAGGAGAGAAGCTATACCA